ATGGAACATATAGATACAAAGAAAGTTAATTGTATACTTAAGGAATCACTGTTTAGTATAGTATGTCAGGGCATCAACAATAGTTGGAAACATGGGATAATTGTGCCAGTCATACAACCCTAAGTGGACAGAACTACGGAAAGTAAGACTAACTGCTACAAATGTTTATGTTGTTTCCACAAAAGTGTAAAGTTACAAAAGAAATTCAGATTGTGATGTTAGTTCATGACTTTCACGAATAATGGTGTATAAATCTGTAAATCTAAATGTCAACGCACTTAAGTATGGACAGGAAATGGAACAGCCATAGCAAAAACTGACTTCAAAAAGTGTACCAAAAATCACAAAAATGTCATGTTCAGTGAATGAGGAATATTTTTAGATACAGAGCGGTCATTTTTAGCAGCTTCCCCTGATTTACTTGTATCACGTTTTTGCTGTGAAGAGGGTGTGGTAAAATTTACGCAGCACAGTTAAGGTTACAAATGGAAATATCGGCAATTTTTGAAGATAAAAAATACATACTTTATTAGGATTGGCGAATCTTTTTAGGAATTCACTGATATCAAAAAAATGTACTTTGGTTTAAATCTACATGTTGGGGACATTTAGATTTTTTATTTAGACTTGTCATGTGATGTCGACGTCACATGACTTTGGCAATTATGCTTGCAGCTTAGAGGTCATCTATAAATTTCAATATTGCAAGGGCATAACCATGCTTAAAATCTTATAATCTTTTTCAACATTATATGTAGTTTTTGAAAAGTGCTGCGAACCTATATAGATTCCCTTTTTTAACTGGTAAAATTTAATTTGTTTGACATCAGGTTGAATATTTTGCTGGTCAACTACATTAAATATATCTATAACTAATTTATTTGCAAGATTTCAAGAGGTTCGCAGCACTTTTCAAATATCTTAATGCTTCTTGAGTTTATGTGTAAAATTTTGACAAGATACATTGAGGGTATGCCCTTGCAATAAATCGATTTATTAGGGCCCTTCCATTACTTTTTCAATGAATCTGCATACAAACACACGACAGTATCGCTTGTCTGATAAATGCACGTTCAGTTTATGAATAAAATACTAAAATAAACATCACATCCAAGTTAATGGCTTTTTATTTTACCGCAAATAATATTTCATTTGAGAACAAAAGACATTTTTCATTGTACAAAATTTGACTTGATCAGCCTCTGACTGTGTAAAAACTGCGTCATTTTTGCAAGATGACGTCACATTGACAAGTGCATTGCGATCGATGCATCGGTTATACACTGTTGTGTGGGCTTTAGCAAACGACAAAACTGCGTGTAATAGTAAGTTTGTATGTAGTATACAGCTATCCAGCTGTTTGAAATAGCAAATAATTTCATTTTGTGGTATTTTGAAGACCTTGTATTATGCGTGACGTCATAGTAAACATTTCCCGTATAAATTAGGCCCCGCCTCCTTACTGTAACCTTAACTGTGCTGCGTAATGTCCACTTATTTTAAAATGCCCTAAATGTGTTTCTTTTTGCAAATTTAATTTGCCAAATTGATTACAATGCACAGAACCACTGACACTGAAACGTAGGGCATATTATGGTGAAAATCAAGGGCAGCTATCGCTTACAAAGCGGAAATGGTGTATACTGTATATATATATTCATACAATGGTCCCTTTCATGAAAAGATTGTGTTTGACATTGATCTTTTTTTTCAAACATTTTAATCTGTCTGGAATATTTATATTCATCTTTCAAACATTTTTTATAATAGATCATTGCAGACTAGTAATTTTTTGACACAAGAAACAGAAGAGCCGATTGAAATTGATAATTATTTAATAGAAGGTTAAACTTTTTTTGCCCTGAATGCAATATGGTTTTTGTTGATGAAGTAGCTGGGCTCAAAGACCGTAGCATTTGTTGTGACATGTACAAGCATTGGTACCACTTTCATTGCGTTGGTATTACAAACAAATACATGTAAGTCAGAAGTCTAGAGTCATGGAATTGTAAAAACTGTAAAGCATGTTGATACTTTGATGTATATACCATTCCTTTTTTTTTATTGGCATGGAAAATTAAATATATGTATGTCCCAATTCAACAAACTGATTTCAGTATGTTATCAAACTTAGAAGACGTCTGTCTGCATCTTTATTACTTCAAATTGGTACTACAAGGTATATGTTTATCTAACATAAATGAAAAGATGAATTCATAACACATTTTTTCTTATCATGTGAACTAAATACTGTGCTACTCAACTTTGATTTGAGGTTTCATCAAGGAATAAGGCTTATAGGTTAAATCATGTTTAACTATCGTTGCTCAAAGGAAACAAGTTTCAGACTTTCATATCATATGCAAATAATAGCTAAAGTTAAAGATTTATGTACCCTTTAGACATTTAGAGAAATAAATAGAAAGGAGAAAACTTGGAATTTATAAACGAATTTTATTTCTTTTCATTTAATGTATTTCATAGTAAGAGATTATGACATTTTATGTGAATGATTCAAAATTCAGTAAATTACAAACACATACATGATTATTTACTATTTCTGTGTTGAATTGAATAATTATGTTCTTTATTTGCATGTTCATTGTAATCTATGAATTTATACCATTCATGTTTAATTTTTTTTTCTTCATGTTGTTGGACATTGTAAATTGAATTACATATTGTTTTGAACTTAAACTATGATCTAAATTCATGTACTAGCCTATAAAGTATTCAATAACCGTATACATAAATTTGAGTTCACCTATTGATCATGCATTTTAATTTTTGAGTTGTAAATAGTTACATGTATCATGTGTCATCCCAACTACAAAAAATTAATAACATACATGTATGTTTAATGAAATTCATAAATCGAATTGCACAGACAAATATTTTTTTTTCCTTCTTTGGAAGTGATGAATACATGTTACATATGCCACTAAATATTTTTAGAATGTCATCTAGGTGCTGACATACCGTAAGGGAAATTGCAAACTTCAAAATACGAAAGTAATTCATTCTTCGAATTGCTTGTTCAACAAAAGTCGCCCATTTGCTGTTTCTTTTGCTTTTCTGAAATCATTGGCAGGCTTCCGACTGACCCCATGCCTGCCAGGAGGAGCACGAAGACGAGTAAAATCGTGTAGTTAATTGCTGAAACCTTTGTAAGCCATTATACAGTCAAAAGGCTGTACAATGTCCATGAACCCCGAATTCAAAGTAATATGCTTGTCACAGCTACCCACTCCAGCACACTTACACAAAATTGATCATACATGATGGGTTTATGCTAATTAAATATTTTGCCATGTAATAGTGTGTATAGTCACTACAGCGCTAATTTTGGTGTACTTAGTTTTAAGGTTTTTTGTTGAGGTTTTGGGAGTGTTTGGCTGTCTTAAAAGCAGGGGATAGATTTTGTCTAACAACTCTCTTTTACATTAGATACCAAGAAATTTAGATATTTTTAGCAACTTTAACCAGGTTGTTAAACTTCTGAACACATAAGAAAGAGAGATCTGAAATCTGTCACCTAAATCTTGGTTTTGAAGACCAAGCTTTATTTTCATTAAGGTAAGGATTATTTCTTCTTTTGAGTTTAACTTTCGACTTTCTCGGGCTTTATGAAATTACTTATACTCAAGAATTGTACAGTGGTAGGAGAGACCCTTTCAATATCGGACACTTTTTATGGAGGGCTGAATAGCATTATAATCTGCATTGAAGGCAGCCATTGTGGGGATCCCTGTGTAAAACTTTACTTTACTATCACTGCTCAATAAATTTAACATGCCAGAAGTTTTGTGTTGGTTTGAAATTGACTTGTTTTGTATGCATTTAATTCAGATTTTAAATTTTCAATCTGATCTTTCAGTTTTCTTATTTTTCCTTCTTTGTAAACACATGTGTCATAGTACTCTAAATAATCATGGTCAATCAAATAATGATTGGCAATTTGTCACATCAGATTCGCTAAGTATGTCAAAGTGGGATGTTGACTTTCTTTTCTTGGTAGAAACATCTGCAGATCTTTCCTTTGGTGGTTACAGTGTATATTCCCATGGTATATAACCTTTTCGTTGTGTCCCATTTTAATTGTCGGGTATGGATTACTAGGTGTAGGTTCCCCATCCAAAAACTGAGTGGAGCAAATTCTAGATTCATTTGGTCTCCATTTTCATCAATTTGATTTTGGCCATTTAAATTTCGAATCCATACATACCTAGTGTATTTGTCTTTGGATTCCGTCGGAAATCAATTTAAAAGGGGGATCACAAATGTATCTTCCAGTTTCAAAATTACAATGGTGAAGTTCACAAAGTTCAGATTTCCATTTCTTCAACTTATTATCAACATTGCTACATCCACTGACGCATGCGCTACTATGTCTCCCAGGCATATTTAGAAAGGAATTGAATGTCAAACGGATTGAAACAAATTGTAAAATTGCACACAAAACAAAGAAGGGAAAATAGAAAGAAAGTCAATTTATTTCTCACCATCATAATATCTCATTTTATGCAAGCAAATAATAAGAAGCAGTAATATTAAAGTGTAAGTTCTTTCATCTTACACTTGTATTAGACTAAAAGATCCAGAACTGACTTATATTGAGAGTCACAGTAGTGCTGAAAGCATCTCTTCTACTTAGAATAAAAGTTTTTTTTTTCAAAATTATAGAGAACATTGATTTTAGAAAAAAGGGCAAATGAATTTTATTTTTCTTTTCTTTTTCGTTGTAAGATATCATAAAATGTTTTTTTTTTTCTATTTTTAAAAAATGAAGTATAAATTTGTAAACAGAAATCAATGTTTTGAAAATTCATAATAAGGAAAATATATCAAAATTTAATTATGCAATATTGATGAAAAACATGCTAGGGCTGATTGATTGGTTATATGTTGTTTAACGTCCCTCTCGAGAATGTTTTACTCATATGTAAACGCCACCACTTAACAGTGGAGAGTTGCAAATGTTGTCCTATACTCGGTACTAGGGGTAATTGAGCAGCGTGGAATCTCTATGTGTCAGCGTCTACTGCGCCAACAGACCTCGGTCTATACGGCCTCATCCAAAGGACCAGTCTCCGAGACCCAAGTGGAATACAAACCAGCTACAAAAGGATCAAATCCTTTCTTTGCGGCTCTAGAGCACTCCCTCTCACCACACCACTGCACTACTCAGGTGAAACATGCTAAGATCACAAAATTTCAAAATGCTCAATACATTTTATTCATTTTAACAGAGACATATATAACATGTTTAAAGGCCAATGTATATTTTATATGTGTCTGATTATATGTATTAAAGGCAGGTAATTTATGAATTGTAAACATGTATATTGTTATGGCTAGAGGTCACTTAACAGTTAAACTGGAACAAAATTATCCTTTCCTGTTTCATATACTGTACAATTCTTCTCTTCACTGTTTTCTCATTTATGAGAATAAATATCAAGTTTACTGCTTTATGGTCAGTATAAAATTGCTTTGGTCTCTTACAAGTCTAAATCTGCAGCTTTCGACTGTAGCAATTGGTACGTGTATTACCATAGGGTCCAACATGATTAACCCACTTGGACTACAGTCCCATGTCATATTTATATATGTAATTTTACGTTGGGGTGAAAAGGTAAATGCATTTACCAAGTGTGCCTTGTTTTGGTTTTCCCACATAAACGTATTTAATACAACAAACCATTACTTTATTTTCTACAAATTATGTGTAAACATGCAGTGTCAAACACGATTTCAGAACTGAATGTTTAACCCATTAATATAAGTAGTTCCTTAATTATAGCAGGTTTTGTTGGCATTTATTTTGCTGACTATCGTACAAACACCCGGATGTGAAATCTATCCCCAATTGACCTTTGACCCAATGTGACGCCAAAGATTGCAAAAGGACTATAGTGATCACCTTGACACTCTGAAAAACTTTATCGAAAATCAAATCTTTGACACTTTGGCGAAATTTTTGGCACTTTAAAAAACTTTGGTGACAATTTTTTAACTCTGAAAAACTTTGGCGAAAACTATGACACTTTGAAAAACTTAGGCGAATACGTTGACACTTTGATTTACAATAGTTTACTAAAGAACACTAAAATAAACTAAAGTTAACTACAGTAAACTATAGTTAACTATAGTAAACTGTGGTTTTTATGGTTATTGTATAGCCAGACACAAAACTTCAACTTCAAAAACGGACTTACAAGGGATAAGCTTAATCCGTTCCGTTCACGCTAGAGTGAATACAACCATTAGGCTTGCTATAGCAGGCCGAAATCTAGAGCACAACACGGCGTTACGCACTGCCAACCCTGATATTGAAAAATGTATTTTCTACCGCAACGCGGATGCAGGGTTAGATTATAAATTTTACTCTGGTATTGGATTGTGTCTGGTCGTCACATAACGCATACCTGCTGTTCCACTGTGTCTAGAAACATGGTTTCGGTAGTTGTCATTCTCCTCAGCTACATAGAAACTACTGTGCTTAGCATAGACAGACTTTCTTCCGTCTTCTATTTCTACAAGTAGAACTGTGAATCCATTCATGACTAGCAAGTGGATGGTGTACAGTTCTTAATTTTTTTTTTACAATATTCATTTAAATCTATTATCGTTAGCAAAAGTAAATTTCGTTTTAGATGAAAAAGATGTAGAGCCTAACAATTTCCTTATGTATACCAATTGCTGTAGTTTCATCACGTTTAGCACCATTTTTTAGCATTTTGTTTTTGAGAAGATCCACGAAATTCAATGTACATTGAATAAAGAAATGTTTTAGGCATTTATATAGGCAATACTTTTGTCCACAAAATTTCGTATCCTCGAAAACTTGTGTTTTAAAAAATTCATCAAAATTGAATACAACGAAAATTGATGAAACCAAAGTATTTGATTTTGGTAACAATATGTAAGAATACATTTACATCTAAAATTTCCTTTTAACATAAAAAAAATGGTTTATAGCAATAACGGAATATAGGACGTACATGTAATGATATGAAATTAATAAAAGAAATCGTTGTTAGATTACGATAAATCTGTCAATTACTATAGCAAATATTTTGATAGTAAACGACAGCTAATTACAGATTACAGTACTTCTTTGTAAGGGTAAGGAGAGAGAACTTAAAGGACGCTTTTAATATAAGATATATATGAACATTAAAATGACTATAGGAAATAAAACAAACGTACATACACATCATAATAGATCTGCTATCGTCAATAGGTACCTTATACATTGTGGCTGTGAACGAACATAAAAGATTACAAATGGATGTCGGCCAGTGCACCTCAGAATACATTCTATCTTAAATTACATGTGTTTCTTTTCTCAAACTGATATGATAAGTTGATTCTATAAATTCTATGTATACATAACATTAGAATCATCTGGTAATTGGTAAGACGCAAACCAGTGACGATTAATTATGAAATCAATTGTGCTTGTCATACCCTTTTTTTGTCGCTACTATTGGATTCTTATTTGAAGGAAATAAACCAGGACATCAACTAGGCCCAGCAGGTAATCTGTTATCATTCATACTTCAATTAAGGACATACGCTACTCACCTACATATGATGTTTCAAGATATTCTTAATTTATTTAAGATTATAGTGGCATCATTTGTTTATAGACAAATATCTGCATGTATTACCATGGAAATTTCCTTTATATTACGTTTGACTAACCTAGTTTAATTTTCTAGTTTAAAAAGTTTTAATTAAATATATGTAGATAACAAAAATATTCAAGCTTAAAAAAATTAATAATTAAAAAAAAAGATCAGAGCAAACACAGATCTTCAAAACATCAGAGGTGGGAACAGGTGCCATGAAGAATTACATGTAACAACCCCTTTTGAATGGTCAACCATCCGTGTGATTATTCGAAAAAAAAAAATTTGTGTGGACAACTCGGTGTGTAATTCTATATATGGCTTAAGGATTTGAATTTAAATATATCAGTCAGTATTTTACTTCATGATTAATTTAATTTGCTGAGAAGGTCATTGTATCGACAATAGAACATACGAACTGATGACTTGAAACGACACAGCAGATATCTCATTTTCGAACTTGTTTATACGTAGAACATAATTATGCTCTTCAGCATTTCATTATTGAATAAATGAAAGATATGTATCCCTATGTAAGTGACAAAGGTATGTTGCTAGATTGCAATAGGTAAGGGAAATAAGGGAAATAATCAGAGTCATAGTGTGGATTTTAAGCAAACCTCATAAAGACTTATGGGATTAAATCAATTAAAAGAGGTATATATACTGTATGTACTTTCCTGATGCCTCGAAATATAAAAATTCTGATGTTAATCATTAAGGTCTTCCGTTTCCAACGGAAGACCTTCTACTGATTCTGTTGGTAAAGATTATTATTCTTTTTTTTTCTTCTACTTCCTAGACGCCAACTTTGAAGCCTCATATCTCACTCATTTCTCCATTGATTTTGCTCAAATTTTAAGAGATACTAGAAGTTACTAAACTCTGTCAGAATGCTGTCAAAAATTTCAAAAAGTCACTTCCGGTTTTGAGTTATTACCCTTTAAACGAAAATTTATAGGCTTTCGTTTCCAGATAAAGGCTCAGAGACGGCTAAAGCTGGAGCAGAAATTCAACTGATTTCAGTAAATAGAAGGATTGAAGTTGTGCATATCGGTTTTTGTTTTTCGATTTTGCTATTCAAAATGGCGCTATATAGGGGTCAAAAATTAGAACGCTTAAAAAAGCAAAAAATTGCTCATACTTTGCTTTTTATCTTCGAAACTAAAAACATTTTGTTAAAATATATAGAACAAAATTTGTGCAGAATTAGAAGATCTTTCAAATGATATTTCGGAAAAAAGGCTGGCCCCAAAAATTAAGGGCCAAGAGGGGCCAAAAGTTTTTCCTTTATATCTCAAAAAGTATTGAGAATTTGTAATACTTCAAAGAAGCAAAGTTGTTCAAAATGTCAAGTTCAATCTATTGAAGTCGTCAAAGTACGTCCGGCGACGTCACTTCCGGCCAAACCGCAAGTAGTCGGAAAACGCATAGTTTGCCATTCTTGACAAGTTTTTGGGTAACGTGTGTCACTGGGAGCATAAAAATTCAATTCCGTCCGTCGTCGTCACTTCCAGTCAAACCGGAAGTAGCAAAAAATGGCTGATTTTTGCATTAAATAACATAGATTTAGAGGATTTTAACAATTTTAGGACGTAATTACTCATTTTTGTTAAAATAAAAGTTACTTCCGGTCAAACAGGACGGAAGACCTTCTCGTTGCTTTGCAACGAGCTTTGCTCTAGTTTTTATACATTTTTATTATTTCATATACTCTTAAAATTTCGAATCCAGTCATATAATTCCACGAAGAACTCCGATTATCCCTGTAAAGAAGCCCACTACCCCAACTTCGTTCCTTTTCACAATTTACAAACAACAATAACTAATAAATCCGTAATCCTTCTCGAAACATTAAATGCTTTTTTTATTTTTCTTATGTTAAATTATCATCTGATCAAATCTTCCAAGAATATATCTTGGCACAACTGATAGATAAGTCGATCACCCCAAAAAGACTTCAATTTCCTAAACTCTCTTTTCTTGATTGATTTTATAGTTGAAAATTTGCCAAGATGTATTATGGGAGGGTAACATTGAAAGCAAGGTTTACACGATCTATCCACAAGGAGGGGGTCAGTTGGAGGTCTTTTGTGACCAACATACCGATGGTGGTGGATGGACGGTTTGTTTCTGTCATTTTTATTATTAGTCGCTTTCATATTATTAAAATCATCTGTATTATTTTTAGTTTAATAGTGGTCCAAATGAGCTTTTCTGATCCTTTTTTGCTGACTGTCATTATTAGCGTTTTTGATTTTGCAATGTAATCGTGTACTCCAGTACTAAAATCCCCATCCTTTTCAAATAAAGAAATACGTTTGGTAGTGGGCATATACCAGATGGGCATGGTCTTAATTACAACAAAGAAACGTAAATATGCGTGATAAGTCACACTATAGTACATGTGACTTATCAAATACAATTACGTTCACAAGTTGACATTATGGCCATGCCTATCTGGTATCTGCACATATTCAAACGTATTTCACTATTTAAAAAAGAAGGGAGTGCTGTAGTTTTGATTAAGTTTTTACATATACAAAGGGATACTAAACCATATTGTATAATACCTTATAAAGAAAGTATTTTCGAAGAAACAAATCACCTAAACACATCAATCACACTCTCACGATCTGCATGGGATGCTAGCTACTGATGATCAGGGATGTTGTAGCACAAATGCCAGATTTTGAAGAAAAGCAATAGATTATCAATTGTTTAAGTAGTTAATTTATCAGACACCATGCACCATTCAACACAGGATTAACTATACATGCCCCTTGCATGCTAAAGTCTTGCACAAGACAGGTCGCTGTTGCAAGGACTATGAATTTCAAGTCTGTTATCAGCAGATAATGGTCGAGATATATCCAGAATAGACCACGATCCGATCGACCAAGGACTAAAACACAGGCTCATGACAGTTTAATCCTCTGGTAACAGCAAATCAGATGTCTCAACTTGAATTTTAAAGGCAACTGGATTGATATCATCAGGAATCGACTACATGGATTCCAATTACATGCCTGACGTCCCCGTGTCATTCCTAGTTTCAGGGATCATTACATTGGACCGACTAGAGTGTCGTCACCATCGTATCGCCGATGGAACCACGTATTGTTCTTAGATGAGTTGATGTTCAGTTTGGACTTCTTGGAAAGACGCGGTAGGATTTGGCGCCGACGTAACGTAAGCTTGCATGAAACTGACGTCATAACGCATGATCGTTATCGGGGTTGAACTATAAAAGTTTGTTGAGACAACACTGTTGTTTGCAAAACAGACTTGCATGTTGATGTTAGACATGTCACAAGGCGGTCCTACCGGTACAACACCTTGGCATCTTATGAATCACAGATGTGCTATGTTATGCCGTTTACATGTTGTTAGACGTCGTTTCATTTTTTTTAAGATTACAATGCAAGATGTCAAAAGTCCAGGATCCTTACAGATAATCTCCAAAAAAAGAATATTACCATATTTCTATGGTCCGGACTCAGTCTGGTCCTTTCCCCCAATCGAGCTTGTCTGGGCTATGCTAACGTCAATAACCTCCTGTCATTGTCCAAGAACTTGCTGCAGCATTGCAACAGGAATATATAGAATAATCGTCCTCAAATTGACCTTGGACGTCTAGTAAAGAGTATGCAACACCGAATCCAAGCTTGTCTGGTAAACCGATGCGGATTTATCCGCTACTGACTCTGTTTTAGAATGTGGTAAATTTGATTTGTGACCCAGTGTTGGTGTCGACCCTAACTCTGGAGAATCTGTTCTTTTTCTGGCTGAATTTTTCATAAATTGATAATGGTTTTGCTATGTTTTTTCTGTTAAATCTTTCCTTCTCGACTTCATGATCTGTACTTCATTATCCTTGTAAATCCAATATCCCCTTATTCTTTTAATAGCATATATTAGGTAATTGCAACGACTTATTTAGCACTGTGACGTTCGTATTTGGCACAAAGGAAAGTCATTTGGTCAAGCAATATTTTAGGTTATACAGAGGCGGATGGATGGGGTGATAGACTTTTTCCGCAATTGGAAGGACTACAAGTATGGTTTTGGTAACAAGTCAGGAGAATATTGGCTTGGTATGTTACATGTACGAAGATTTGTTTTAAATTAGAAGTGTCTGTACATAAAAAGTAACATCTTTTTCTAATAAATATATTGGAATGAAACCAACTATGCTCCTTGAAATACTAAACAAGGAAAAGAAATAATCATAAGTGTTTTCTTCAGGGCATTTTAATGATTTTTCTAATTTCCATTAGAAACGTTGTTCTAAACTTTTTCTTCTTCTTCAGGAAACCACCAAATACATGAAATTGTTAACCAGGGATATTATGAACTGCGGATAGACATGTCTGACTTTAATAATGAAAAAAGATATGCTCTGTACAGAAGATTTTCCATCGGTGATGAAGGCCATGGGTATAATCTTCATGTTGAAGACTACGAAGGGACAGCAGGTAAAACAGAAAATGTATTTGAGATTTAATTATATTTAAGGTTACATTGCCACGTGATATTTCATTTGTCAGTCATAATGTTAACTAACAGAACAAGATAGTGAAATAATCCACTTCTGATAAAGTTGAAATTAAAGATAAACCTTAAAAATATCTATTTATTCCGAGGTTCTTCATCTGCTATTGATACTGTAGATTATAATCGGATTGTTAAGTCCTTTGATCATGACAGAAGAGCAAGAAATAAATAAATATCCTGTCACTTTCATTTTATTTCAGTCAAAATGCTTCGAAAAAATAAATTTAACATGTAAAAAAAAAAATAAATAAAAGTCCACTCAAATGTACAGAAGTAAAGCATTTATTTTATTGTACCTAAAATAAATTACGCATATCTGTTCAGCATGGAACATTCCAATGTGATTTTAAACAGAACTCTTTAAATTACCAGCCTCGCTTTATAATATTGCCAAATTCTGTCTTTGACAAAAGAAATGATAGTATGCCGATGTAGCAATGTACTTTGTTTTTTTACCTTTATCAAATTGTGGCATCATTATCTCCGTATGAATTTATAGGTGACTCACTGATGAATCCGCATAATGGGGCACAATTCTATACCAAAGACCACGATACCTCACATTCATGTGCTCAGACATATAAGGGTGGTTGGTGGTATAACGAATGCCATCTTTCCAATCTGAATGGGATGTACCTTCGGGGAAACCATGTGTCATTTGCTGACGGTTTTAATTGGAATACATGGCATGGATATCACTACTCACTCAAGACAACAGAAATGAAAATAAAACGACTTTAAAAAATTTCTCATTTATCAGAAGTTAACTTAAGCTGCTAATAGGGATAAATTTAACATTCAATTATAATTTTATGCAAGACCTAAAGATTTTCTTTTTCCGTAAAAAAATCACAATTCCTTGATCTTTATGCAAAAAATAAGGGCAAATATGATTAACACATTAGTACAAAATTTTAGATAGTGTTTTACCTTAAATAAACGAATAATATCCGATTTTACAGAAAATTGGAAATTGTGAATTGATAAAGATAATATGTACTTTTCTGAGACAAAAAGGAAATTAGAGGTTGTTCAGCTAAAACGTTTATATCTCATTATCAAATTTTTGCTAAGTTCATGAAAGATTGATTGTATATTGTTTAACGTCCCTCTCGAGAATTTTTCACTCATATGGAGACGTCACCGTGTGCCGGTGAAGGGCTTCAAACAAAACTCGGCACTCAGGGCCATTGAGCAGTGAGGGATCTTTGATGCCAAAGATGCCGCTGACACGGGGCCTCGGTTTTTTCTCATCCGAAGGACCCGCAACTTTCACTTCAAAGTGCCGAGCGCATGGCGAAGGAACAGTTGCTACCAATTTTAACGACTAGGTCAGTCGCGGCCGAGATGCGAATTCACGACCTCCCGATCACGGAGCGAGCGCTCTACCGACTGAGCTACCGTGAACGGTAGTTCTGGAAAGAAAAGCATTGTAAAAAATCAGGAGTTTGATCTATTTTATTAGTTCAGCTTCAGATGAATTTCCCGGCCAGTGGAAGTTTACCGGTGGTAATCGGTGGTTTGAGCAATACCGAAACCTCGGTCCTCATCAGTCAAGTAGTCCTGTACACGACACAGCATCAGACATACTACCTTCGATGATGGCAGTCCTAGTGCTTCCATAAAACATTCCTTAACCTGGGTGGCACAAATATCCAGCTGGCCGGACATCAACCGGGCATTGAATAATTCTCTTCAATAATATCAACCCACAATGCTTGACTGATGACGTTCATGTATTGGAGAAGATTGGTTGTACACCAGTCGACTATGGACCACTGATTGGCAGAACATTGAATAATAATAGGCAGATGTATGTTGCCGACAACTCATCCCCCATTAAACTCAGATTCAATGGACACTTGACAATACTTAACCATACGGGGGACCCTTGGAAGATGTCTTGTTGATTGGTAACCGATGAGTTGTGATATGGAGATCGGTCGAGATATAGCTTATTTCTAACTACAACTTATTTTCTCCTGATGACACCCAACGCTTCACTCGAATACTCTAAGTGTCCGGTCGGCAACCACGCTAATTGTTTTGTTCATTTATAAAAACGCATCAGTTGCCCATCGTAAGAGCGCTGTTCAATGAACAATGGCCTCTTTGCTCAGAAAGAAAAAAATATTTTCGGAGATTTACTTTTAAAGATTTCACTTAAATATTTTTTTTCTTGAATTAGAACACATTTTTATCCAATTTCTGATTGTTTTAGAAAATATTTTTGAGTATTGCCCTACGTATACTGGGGATGACAGATCCTACGATTTCCTGGACTTGTTTGTTCTTTCTGAAAGGTGGTTTATCAAGTTTGGAAAATGAAACAAGTCATAGGTTAAAAGAATTTGGGAATATTGTTGATGTGACAAGACATTAACTTTCTGTTTATCCCCGAAACGCCTCTATTCTTATTGGAGTGCACGTGTGAGTTTGGACACTGTCATGAATGAATTTAATGTAGTGGATTCCTGATTTAGTTCCTTCCTCTCATAATCCTTTCTTTCTTTGCAAAACATGTTTACTTTCTAGATTCTTTCAGTAATTAAATTATATCTCTTTATAGTAAGTTGAACAAAAAGACCACTGATATTTAAGAAATTGGCATAATTTTTTTTGTTCTCTTGCAATTCTTTGCTTTTCTCAGACCTTTGCTGTTTTGTCAAGTTCATCTTATTGTAAATTCGTATTCAAACAGATTTTTAACAAATTTAACAGCAATTTTAATGTTGTTTAATTCTAGTTTACAATGGATTCAAGTTTCATTATCTGTAGGAATTTCACACAATCGTGGATAATTACATTTTTTATTCCTACACGCTGTAGTTTTCACTCATTTATCAAGGCAAAGGGTGGCCAATAAGCATATATTTTTTAAGTTAAATATGTCTTTAAAACAGTGTGCACTACCCTCCAAAATGATGCATATCAAAGTAGCCATGTTTTTTTTTTTTTGTTTTTGATTATATTTCTTTTCTTTAATTGATTAACGCAAATTTAAGCAAACAATTAATACATGTACGAATATAAAATCAATAGTTATATAATCTTGGTATGTCTTTATTGTTCTTCTACGACAAATATATTTAGAATGAACAACGAACTAACTAAACGCTATTTCCAGATTTATCTGGTTCAAGGAAGCAGTTTGACAATGTTTTCAGTTGTCAGGGATAGACGCATTGATCAACTTTGATAAGGATAAATTAAATCAAGCCTGATTTAATCTCAACATTAGAATCTCGCTGACTAACTAATGTCCCAATTTTCCCATTATTCTCAGACATGCTGCTAGGATAAAATCTCAGTCTGTATTTTCTGCATTCTCTGTCTATGATCTGGAATTTCCTCACCTGCTATACCTGCAATCTTTCGATTTCAGATATGACAAAATGGGTAAAAAGAATGCAAAAAAATCATTCTAGGACAGGAAAAGATCATGAGAAGCAACTGGGGATAAAATAATGTGATCAATTGACTCTCAGTGATCTTCATTCAAAATGCTGTAACATTTTATAAAAATCTAGAATGGTTGATACTAAACCCTTACCCGGGCGCACTTTCAAAACTTAATGTCTAAGATCAAGACTTACAAAAAGGGTGACGTTGGAAAAAAATACATACCACTTTGTTACATGACAACGTTCAGTTATGATATAGAATTATTTATCTATAATTAAATTGATTACTTCAGGTTGTAAGCAAAATGGGAATGAATGGGGTATAGCTAGTATATTCAAACACAAAAATACGGAGCACTGCTTCAGTGAGCATGGTATACGTGTTATAAAAATGAGCTTTGCAGATTTCTTCACCATTATGCCCTGTGCATGTGAACTTTATAGAATTATATTGTGCTGTGCTTATTTCATAACATCGCATTCAATGATCTATGACACAACGTTGTTCATTTCTTCAATATTTACATAAATTGTTTTAAGCAAAGACTTTTGTTGTACGTTTATGAATGCAGTCTACCATGTTGTACATTGAAGTTTTTTTCATTTGTTTTAAGAAGTCTTTTAAAATTTGATGTCACCTTTGAAGTAAAAGTTACCGTTTCTTCGGATTAAAACATAAACAGACGGTACGAGAAAGATCCCCCAATGCTCAAAATGGACGTAAGTGCCGAATAAAGTCAAAATTGAAACCCTTCAAATGCAGATGTAAAAAAAAATGAAAAAAATTAACTTCAGAACCCGTTTGCATGATAACTAAACATTCATATGATTTAACAATGTTTTTTGTAGTAGCTTAAAAGGTCTATATTTCCACCCAAGGTAAAAAAAAAATATCTGAGACTATATGCCTGTAACAAAAATTAAATTTTGAAAGTGGTTTTAGAAAATATAATGCCTTTTAAAACAATATTAATTATGCATTCATTTTTTCCCATAAATCTTTAATTAATTTGATTAAAAGTTCCAATTAATGACACAATTTACAAAAAATGATAGGTCTAGATATGGACTTTCACGATAACAGTATATGATTTCTGTGGTAGCTAATACACAATAAATATTTAATGAAAAAAGGAGTAATTTAAAACGTGTTAACGAAAAAATCTATTAAAAACACACGAACCGTAATTAAAAAGGTGTGTATTAATTTATTTTTAAAAACAACTCAGGGGGTACCCTGTAATAATCTATACTTAAAGCACAGCTATCCATGTCTGGTTAAAGGGTTTCGTTCAAGAGGTACGTAAATCAAATTGTTACTTTTATTTAGTACAGGTTCACGTAAGAATCATTCAGTAGGTGACAAGTCCATGTATTCTGATTTATGTTATACATGTATTTTGCATACCTGTTGGGAGTTGAGCCAATATCAGTTTAATATTTTCTTTTTTAATTTCCTTGGTAACTGTTACTGATCTTAATATTTTTGTAATAATTAACCAAAAACAATTTAAAAAAAAAAGTTTCCTTTTTTTTCAATTATAATTGTTCTATGAAATGTATGAAATAACGAATGATATATTCGAATTTTTTTAGTCATAAAAAAGTTACAAATCAGTAGCAGAACAAACACCGACCATTTAAACGTTAAATATGGGATCACGTTCAATGAAGGAAATACATGCCCTGTAGACTAGTGACACCCGTGCACGGTGTATGAAAAAATAATAATATATATAATAATAAAAAAATAAATAATAAAAATAATAATATGAAAAAAGTCAGTCAAAAATTCACTTAAAGGCAGATAATTTCAGCACTGCCTTCATAAATACCCGATCTGGGTAGCCCTGTCAATCAAGTACATGAAGGTCCATCATTGGATGCTGGAACTTGATTAAGATTTACTTACTGGTCCCTGTATGTATCCGGTTTACCTTCTTTCACACTCTTGGGGGCCTTCAAATTAAGTTTTGATCCTTTAATGTTTACTGAACATGTTATAGAGAAACTGTATTACTATTAACATTTTTTAGATTGATAATGTATAAATTAAATATACCTTTAGTATTTGAAAGTATTATAATATAACACACAGTTTTAAAAATTTGAACCTTGGTACATTAAACCTTTTTTCTGATGAAATGTCTATGTTAATTTTAATAAGCTAAACGGTAACCTAAAGTGAAAATGTTTTAGATCAGTACTGTTTGAAGTTATCAAATTCAAAATATTTATAAATGTTTCTAATCATTTGTAACTTATAGTTTTTCTTTATTATTCAGATAAGAACTTACAAGCAATTATTATTTTAGCATGCATCATGGTGACAAAACCTCATTA